GGGGGCCATGCCCCCCCCCCCTATTGTGGAGACCCGTCGGAAAATTGTGAATGTTGTCGGAAATTTTTGGAAAATTGTCAACGTTGTCGGAAATTGGCAAATTTTCCGACCTTTGTATATTCGGAAAATTTTGGATAAATGGAGAAAATTGGTGATGTCCGGAAAAATTTTAAGATGTAACGAAAGATTTTGGTATGTCCGGAAAAATGTTTTGACCCCTAAAATGGTACACTGACCGAAATTTTTTTGGCGCCCAAAAATTCGCCCAAAAAAATTTCAGTTAAAAAAATTTTCGCGACGTTTCTGTTGGAAACTATTTTCCGGTTTGTCGGAAAAGTACTGCCCTTGCCCCCCCCCCAAAAAAAAAAACATGGGTCCCACGGCGCCACTGGATCAATTAGAGGGATTATCCTAACCCAACCTCGTCCTAACCCACCCTGTCAACATTTCCTGTGGGAGGAAACCGGAGTACCCGGCGAAAACCCACGACTTTCGGCAGAGCGTTGACTGACTCTTTTCACATAAGTGTCATGAGTCCGTAGGCGTAGCGAGAATCGAACCCACGTGCACGATCTCAGAAGTGAAAGGCTCTTGGCCAGCTTTGCATCTAGTTTCCAGTCTAGTGGACTATCGATCCAGTCACGACCAATAGCCGAATTCAGATTAGGGACGGGATCGAAACTCGTCTGTGAAAACCCGTCTGAATATGAATTTAGGGACGGATAAATTCGAATTTAAGACGAGTTTCCCGTCTAGATGGGATTCCCGTCTAGATGGGATTCCCGTCTAACTTTCCCGTCCGTTTAGACGGGTATTAAAGTTAGACGGGAAAGTTCGGACGGGAAACTCGTCTGCCCCCGGATTCATATTAGACGAGTTTCCCGTCTACGACGAGTTTCCCGCAGTGGCGTAACTACTATGGGCTCAGACCGGGAGAACCCGGGGGCCACCAACCCAAATGGGGGCCCCCAGGCTTAGGCGATAGAGCAAAAACATTGGCCAGGGCCTCTGATATGTTACAATGTCGTTTTATAACCATCAGAATTCTGTAAAATCTCTTTCCAAAGTCCAGGAAATGGCATTTCAGAGAGTCTAGATTCAAAAATTTTGCGGATGAGCATTCCCTGGACCCCCTAGAAAACTTGTGCATATACAGCGCTCGACTCGTGCCTTTGGCAATTCTACTGGGGGGGGCCTTCGAAAATTTTTGAACCGGGGGCCCCCTGATATAACGTTACGCCACTGGTTTCCCGTCCCTAATATGAATTCGGCTAATGATGGGATGTTCCATTGTCTTTTTATTGTTTCGAAAATCTGACTGTTCTTCATGTCATCAAGTCAGTCATTGTTTTATATTAGCATTTATACGAAGGGCCTATTTTGAGATCCGTATCTGGACTATCTGTGCTGTGGTGTGTATACAAGCCTTCGGAATAATAGGAGATCTAGATAGGCTCTAGCTCCTGACTACTCAATTGGCATGATGCCCTGAGATAATCACAAGATTATTTCCATGAAATGAGACTTTGGGGTGACTTTCCACAGCATGTTGGAAATTTAGGATTAGTTTTGATATTAGAGATAAGAGTGTACTGAGTTGGAAAAATTCTTGCAATTATGCGAAATCACGTACCCGCGTGAATGACATTAAACATTCATTGTTGAACGTCGTAACATCTTCATGCAAAAACTACCACTGACCTTCGGCATTAGCCTGAGTGTCAGGCCATTTTCCGTTCCGTGATATCAGTTCGGAACTCTTGACGTTTACCGGCGAACTCTACAGGCGTTCTAGGAATCAGGTTACCCAATTCTCATTCATGTGGGCGGAGGATTAGGGAGGAACCGTGGAGATGTTCTGACATGATTTATTTTTAATTTCTGCAAGTCACCCTCGAAGATGAGTGTTGGGTGTCTGGTGGTATTGGTAGGTTTAGGTATTGGTTCCAGAGACGTTAATTAAAGGACGGTGAAACGGCGCGGAATGCAGCATGCGAGGTCAACTTCGGAAATGTTCAACACTTGCTGGACAGACATTCCAACTATTCCGATTTCATCGATCGGGAGACTCCCGACTATCTAGCCTTAACTCACTGTTCATGAGAGTTGGTCCTTGGTTAGCTGTTCTTGATGCTTTCCCAACACTATCATGCATTCTATGTTAAAACATAGTTGGAATACTCAGTTAGGTAATTTGTTAGTGCACTCTTAAAATTTAAAATTTGTAAATAATTTCTGAAAAGCCTTTCACTTTCAGGGAGAAATTTATTAAAACTATCTATCTAGAAATGTGTGAGTGGTGTGACCCATCCAATTTCCGGCAGTTAAGCACTGTCAATAAAGAAAATAGATAAAGTAATCACCCTTTTAAAACAAAAAATAAACATTTAAAATTGGCCGTCACAACAAGACACAAGATTCCAACAACATTTGAACTGAAAGTTTTATTGCCCGGAACACATTCTTGAGGCAAAATAAAAAGTTGTGAAAAAATTAACACCGAATTTTTCAACCTCCTTGAAATGTCTGACAGGAACAAGAGACTGAAGAGAGCTTTAAGCAAACCAATACAAGATATAAACAGCCTGGAATGAAAAGAATTCACATTATTCTCTCATTCTGATATAAACTGCTGGTTATAAACCACCGGACCACCATCTGCTACACGATAATGCTTGGTGAAACTCGCCAGTTCGGAGAACAATACTTAAAAATTAACATGGAATTCCCACAATTCGTAGTCATAGTTGACAAGCTGATGAATATTAATTTTCTACCGTAATTATATTCGTGAATTTCATTAAGCTATTCATATTTGTAATTGTTTTCCCCCGACTCTTGTCAAATAAATTATGCATTCTTGAATTTACTTTTACCATCTTCCATATGAGTCTATCAGCATCATTTACCAGACAATATGTATGTACTTGATGAATTGACCACATTGTGGTCGCTCTCGGGCAAAAAACATAGGTGGAAATGTATGCAACCAGATTTTTACATGTCATTGTTTCCAGGAAACCGAAATACAGTACTTTTGGGATAGTATATTTCACTGTTTTCTTTTCAAATTCCCAATTTACAGGTTGCTCAAACAAATCCGCTTTATAATATTATAATGCACAAACATATCAAGTAGTTTCCTATGTACGAAATTTACCAAAATGTCTTATATATCTTTAAAGTTAGGTTTGGTCGGGTTCCGGTTAGTCGGGTATAAGACGCCTCACGTGATCGCGCTCGTCCAATTAGAAAACGTTCTACATTTGTTCGGGAGGGTAACAACTCAAAGCGACCATTTCTCGAAGCTTTAGAATTTTGTTGTGTGATAAAAAATCTGGCCATTTTTCGACTCGTTGAAGGCAAACAGCGGTGAATATACCTTGTTCGCTATTCAAGACAATTGGCCTACTTATGTGCGCTGTTTTGTAGGCGAGATAGTGACGAACAGAAGCTTCGTGGGTTCAATGTAGCGAACGAAACATTCTCAAAAGGAACGCCAATTTCGAATGAGGGAAACAAACGAGTTATTGACTTGTAAAAGAGGAATGAACGGTTTTTAAACAAGGGAAGGTATACAGCTTTCTTTACTGGTTGTCAACAGAACGTTTTGTGACAAGTTTGGCCTTTGATACTTTTAAAAATGTCGACAACTCGAGCACTGCCGACCGTAAACGAAGGAGGCGCACCGCTAATAAAGGTGATATAATATATTTCCTTTTGTCTGGTTTTATTCTAAGATTATTTGGTCGTGTAATTGTATATTTTGGAGTATTTTTCTAACGAATTTTATGTCGTTTTCTCGCTAGGAAGAGCCGCGGTCGTCGAGTTCGTCAAGTCGTTCGAGAAATCGAGCTGGCACAGGAAGCGATGATATACATATTGGCAACTATAAACTTTTAAAAACTATCGGCAAAGGCAATTTTGCGAAAGTAAAACTAGCTAAACACACGCCGACAGATAAAGAGGTATAAAGCAAACCTTTATTCATTCAAAACTCCCAAATATTTAAGCTATAACATATATTTTTGAACGTAAACTAGCGACAACCGGCAAATGTATTTCTATGTAAAAGCATCGGTAATCTTGACTACTCAAATATATATTCTTCCTAATTATTTATTCTCTGTTTTAGGTTGCGATCAAAATCATCGATAAAACACAGCTAAATCCTAGCAGTTTACAAAAGGTGGGTATTCTAATGCTAGCTTTCGTCAAACTGTTTATATACAGTACTTTCAACTTTTCTACGACTTTGCCGCATAATTTCAGAATGAAATTTAAATGGTTCATAATTCATTTTGAAAACATTCTCATGTAAACTAAGATTTCGTAACAATTGCAAACAACGGCTATTCACACGCTCACAGCCATTCTTTTTCAAGTAGAATTCCCATCTTGTCAAATTTGAATATAATTATAAATTTCAATATATATTTGTTGAACGTTGGACTACTATAATAGAAAAATTTTCGCTCGTGCATCTTAATTAAAATCTAATGTCTCAAAATGTCTTTCGTAAGATGTTTTATACAGATAACGTTTTCTTAAATATATCTTTGAAATTGAGTAGACTAAGTCTGAAAGGGTGTCATGTTAATATTTGAAGTAGTTTTGCGCAATAGGTACGATAAATTAATGGATCGATATGTCATGAAATTACAATTCAGCTGTGTTGTAAAAAAACGTAGCTATTTACAAGTTACAACCCTTGCTCATGCTGGTAAAGTCAAGAATGTTAGTTTATTCCTCCATAATGTAAAACACGAGTCCTTTTCAACAGATTGTCAAAATCTACAGTAGGACATAATGTTTAGTTCTTTAAATAACCCTAAGTATATTCCCATCTGTTTTGTTTATAATTTCATCACATTCCTTTATTCCTGTTAGGGATCTCTGGAACTTTGTTTTCATTTGGTTTTAATATTTCACAAAGTTAATGGCAGACTTAAATTAATGTTGGCAAAATTAAATTGCCATGTTTCATTGCATAACAATACGATTACCATTACAGAAGGTGAAATCAGCTAGCAAGTTCCTTCAATTTTCTGAAACCTGTTTTATACTCAAAACTAGCCTTGTATCGTTGTGAAGAAACCCTGATTGCAATAATACGGCAGAATATGTTTGCGAATTTGCAACAGCTTGCCTAGTGTTTTGTCTGAATCATGTTCCCATGAAGGTTACAGTTGTTGCTTTTGTTTGTATGTTATTTTACATAAATTAGTTTGATGTATCAAATTTTTTTTTCAATTGGCCAATCAACAGTAACAAAACTCTTTTATCGTTAAGCGTCAGCAAATAAGAGTGACAACTTTAGTTATATATTAACTGTGGTTAAATATTAACTTGGTTCCTGCGAGTGCAAGACAGCTCTAAATAATTTGTCTCCCACAAACTTTATGTCATTTCTATACAATAGCAGGGTAATATAGCATAATAAAACTAGTGCAACCCCCACTGATAGTTATAATTAGGTTACTGATGTGATATCTACTTGACATGCAACATTGAGTTGGTAAAAGTAAAGATAAAATCTGTCACGATTATCATAAGAATACAGTATATCTTGTATAATGGTTTAGCTTCATGAATACATTACTATAGTGAATTATTGGTAGTCACTGTAAAGTTATTAGTTAAAGTTCAAATATTTCTATGCATTGTGCATGTACTTGTTGAGCACAATTTTAAGTGTTTCTCCTGTGTCTTAGAGTCAACTTTTCAGAAGTTTCCATCTTGTGGCTCTTACCTTGCCCCCTCCTATAATCTTAAACACCACCTTCCCCCGAAGTACAACCATTATGTTCAACTAGTGCTTACCAATTATTTGAATTTTGAACAGTCAATGCCAGTGTAGGTAGCAGCAATTATAAGAAAGCTTCGGAATGATAAAGATACAGCTACCTGAGAAATACAAGGAGAACTTTGATGTTTCGAGCGAAGGTCCTTCGTCTGGGAAGTTTGGCTACTAACTTCCCAACAAGGGGCCCTTGCTCGAAACGTCAGAGTTCTCTTTATATTTTATAGGTAGTTGTATCCCTATCAATCTGAAGCTTCCTTACCAATTAAATGGTATTTTGATGGTAGCTATGATGGTAAAACAGTGATATATTCCGTGAAATATTGAAATTTGGTAGGCCAAATTTCCATTTTTCAAATTTTAACCCATTGAGCACCAGTGCTCTCCCCTAGATGAGTAAAATTGTCTGTCGTTAGACAGAGTAAAATAATGAAGTACTACACCAACACAGACCCAACACACCCAACCTACATAACACCAACACAGAAAATATCATGAATACTAGATTGCATTCATATCGAAGGAACTAGACTCAGTTCCGAAATATCACATACTCGAACCGACCTGACCGCGTAGCTCGATCAGTTGGCAGAGCATCCAAGGGCTAGTATTCCAAAGGTGTAGGTTCGATTCCCACCATGGCCAGGCATATTTTCCAAGCTTGCCCGGTGTGGATATACACTCAGAGTAACATCACAAACATCATATTCACCTGAGTACATAACACCATCACAGAAAATATCAAGTACTACCTGTTTTTTTACCCCTACAATATTGTATGGTAATTTTCAAACTTGGGGATCAGCATTGGCTGCATTTTAAAACGTATACAATTGAAAACTGCTGTTGATAATTGTTGGCTGGTTTCAACCATACAAGGCCAGAATTCTGACCATCAATTTAATAAGCTTGTTGTCAACTTTGGCAAAAAGATCGTCATGTGACTTGAAAATCTTCAAAATTTATAGCTTTAAGTGCTAGAAGCAATACAAGGAAGTTATTATTGATGATGTAAAGCTGAGCAAATATTTACCACTGAATTAAGCTAAAGACAAGGCTGTCATTCTCTAAAAATAATTATGCAAATCTTGGAACTTCCTTTTATACATGTTGATGCATGTTTACAATAGTTTTAAATCAGTTATTAATAAAACAGTTTGGAAGAAAGTAATGGATGATTTAAAATGTTTTCATATATGTATATTTTGTATCATTCATATATCCTTGTAAAGAAAATTTACATGTTAATTTAAAACAAATATCAATGTAAATGACACATACCTGTATGGCAAAGTAAGAATCAAATTTCTTTTCATATAAATAGCATGTTTACTTGCAACTATTTCACACATTGTTTTATGTTTGAAAATCTTAACTTTTAGGTAAATTACTTGCATGTTTGAATAAATTTAACCTTCTATGTTTTGAAATGCATTTGTTCAATTTCATGAAAGTAATTTACTCGAACATTAACCCATGAAAGCACAAAACTTTCTCCCTGATGAGTAAAATCATCTGGCATTAGACAGAGTAAAATAGTAAAGTAGGACACATTCCTACTTTTTACAACATGGCCTTTTGTACTTCTAGTTTTGAGCAAGACAATTTTACTTAATCTGAAATATCATTAATAAGAAACTGCAGGGGCACAAAGCATACAACCCTTCCCCCAAAGTATACAACCCCCATAACTGAATGAACAACTGCAAGATTTATTTATGTCTTAAATGAATTCTGAAATATAGTTTATTTTTACAGCTGTTTCGTGAAGTTCGCATCATGAAGTTTTTAGATCACCCTAATATAGGTTTGTAAACATAATTTTATCTGATATTTACAATAAAATCTTAAGCTGTCAATATGTCACTATTTCTGTCTTACTAATAAGGCTATAGTGACATTTGAATTTGATATTTTCAACTTTTATTTACTCAATTTCTTTATTTGATTCAGTCAAACTCTATGAGGTGATTGAAACTGACAAAACTTTATATCTGGTCATGGAATATGCAAGCGGAGGTATCGTTTATTTGTTAAATATCATGTTATAGTTTCTGATTTTTTTAGCAGTTTTGTCACAATTTCCCTATATGAATGATTTAATTTCCTTATATGAATGATTTAATTTCCTCTATACAGTCATAATTTTCTCCATATTTACTTTGATTCTATATCATAGCTCTTCTTAGATATACATCTGCCAGCTTCATTATTCCATATTACAACATGAGATTGTTTTTGTGTGTCCACAAACCCTTAACTCTTGATATAAAACATGCATTTCCCCTTGTGTAGATATTCAAATTCAAGCTGCAGTATAAATTATTTAAATCTTGTTAGTTGTGTTCAATTATTCATCATTATCCTCAATTTATAGGAGAGGTATTTGATTATCTTGTTGCTCATGGGAGGATGAAGGAGAAAGAAGCAAGAGCAAAGTTTAGACAGGTTAATCAACTTGTAAAAGTTTTGACTTTGAATATACTGGGTTTTTTAGTTCAGGATTGAGGCCTCAAAAATTGCTTGGTTGTAATTTCATGCTTCAAAAAAAGAGGGTCAGTAGGTCATATTTTTAAAAAAAAATTATTCAAGTAATTCAATTGAAAGTTAATGACGAGAACATTATAAAAAGTTGAGTAGATTATAAAAAGAGCATCTTGCTTATTGTCTGTGTTTTGTGTGATAAAACACACAAATTTTAATAAATATTGGAGTCAGGAAATGAGTTTCTAGTTTTAGCTGCAAACCACAATGTCATAAGAATTAGGTTGGTGTCATGAGATTGGTCAGGAAACCAGAACCCGAACAATATTTTTCGGCCTGATATACGAGTCTCAGTATGGTATGTTACGTACATTATGAGACTCAATATGTTTTTCTTTGCTTCTCAGATTGTGTCTGCTGTACAGTATTGCCATCAAAAACATGTCATACATCGAGATCTAAAGGTATGAGCCAGTGTGCTGGTTTTAAACAAAATAACCAACTTAAAATTTATATTTATACTGGGTAGTACCACTATCCTCCGCAGAGTCAATTATATAGGATTGTAGAGATAATGTAGGGATAGTAGAGGACATTTAATATTATGTAATTTTACTAAAAATTCGTAAGGCTCTGTGGAGGAGAGTGGGGTAGCTGTATCAGTTCTAAGCTGTTCTCCATAGAGTTCAGAACTAGCCATCCCTTATTAGTACTGTATCCATGCTTAGCATCTGCTAGAAACTAAACTTAACTTACAATTTTCACCCTAGGCTGAAAACTTACTGCTTGACTCAGACATGAATATCAAGATAGCAGATTTCGGCTTTAGTAATGAGTTTACCCCTGGCAACAAACTGGACACATTCTGTGGCAGTCCTCCCTATGCAGCACCCGAGTTGTTTCAAGGCAAGAAGTATGATGGACCAGAAGTTGATGTCTGGAGTTTAGGAGTTATTTTATATACTTTAGTCAGTGGTTCTCTTCCATTTGATGGACAGAACCTTAAGGTGAGTTATTTTTTGAAAGTTGAAGTAGAAGACAAACATAAGTGATTAGAAACTTACGCTTAAAAAAACTTTGATAACAAATATTCTGAATCCTTGAGCCTTCCATTTCCTTTTAGTAGACGACTATTGCCAGGGTTTTTTCCAGGGGGTTTTTAGGGCCGTTAAACTCAATCTTGAATTGAGTCCCAAAAACTCAATCTTGAATTGAGTTTTGAAACTCAATCTTCTCACCAAAGTTTCAGTGCAGTAAAAATGAAGTTGTTTGAGTTAAATTCGTGACGTGTGGAAATTAGTTTTCAGTTGGAAGCCCGACAATTAAGAAAAAATGGCTAGAATTCATCTCACAACACATGAAAAACTATGCATTTGCCATCTTTAACCAGTTTATAGTGTCCCTTAGTGCTCCTACTTTAACACATTCCGCCCTCAACTACATTTATTGAGTACAGATGTCAGCCCCCCGGTGGGGGGGGGGGGGATAGAACCATGCCAGCTGTTCAGCTAAACTCAATCTTCTCTGCAAAAACGGACCCAAGAGAAAATCCTGAAAAAAACCCTGATTGCAGGGTCTCAAATTTGCAGTATCCCAATATCCACTGGATACTAAATTTGGTTTTGGATACCAAACTGTGCATTACTTGTATCCCAACAAGATATTACAAAATTTCAAATATTAAGATAATGCTAAATGTCCCCAGGGTCTCCCTATAGCTTTAAATACTTTGACGTCTGTTTTTCCCTTGTCAAGTGAATTATTACATTAGTGAATTATTACAGAACGGTCCCACTACCATTAAGCCATTGAGCACCAGCGCTCTTCCCTTGATGAGTGAAATTGTCTGGCATTAGACAGGGTAAAGTAGGGTCTTCAGGGCACAATGCAACTCGATGGTTAACAAGACACATCTAGGCAGATAGTCTGATTAACCCATTGAGAACAGCACTCTCCCCTTGACAAGTAAAATTGTCTGGCATTAGACAGAGTAAAATACTAAACTAGGGTGCTTCAGGGCGCAATGCAACTCAATATGGGTTAACCAGTATTTTGTCCTGCCTTTGCTTAAATATGGCCTGCTTTTGGATAATGGCAGCCAGCTATTTTGAGCAGTGTCTTGCATGAATCCAAGCTCGAAATAATGACCTACAATTGAACTTTTATAGGAACTGAGGGAAAGGGTTTTACGTGGAAAATACAGAATACCTTTCTATATGTCAACAGGTTCGTAGTGCTGTAATACAATCTCGAACACTCTGGGCCAGTGTAGGTAGTGACAATAACAAGGCAGATTAAGAGAGATACAATACAGCTACCTAACAATATAAGCACAGGTATGAGGGAAGGCCCTTTGTCTGGATGTTAGTAGCCTGACACTGTAACTTTCCAACAAAGGACTCGAAATGTCAAAGTTCTGCTTATATTTTTCAGGTAGTTGTATCCAGTGAACTTCATGTAAACTCAGGAGGGGAGAGGGGGATTGAAGTCAGTGCATTTTACTTTTTCTGAGTTATGAGCAGAAATACTCAACACTGAACGTTGTGCTGTATATGAAACTGAAGCTATTGAAAAACGCTATTTGGGAAATATTTAAAAACTACAAGGGAAATATTTAAAAACTACAAAATAATTGCCGATAATTTGCCATTTTTTGGCCGAATGGCAGTTGTTTTTGTATTTTTTAAATATTTTTCTTTTCGCTGAAGTCTTGAAATTTCCCCCACCGAATAGCAATTTTCAATAGCTTCAGTTTGACATATAGCCCAACATTTGGGATCAAGTATTTCTGCTCATAACTCAGAAAAACTATTTTGGCTTCAGCAAATCATAGGCTTTATTATAGAAGTTAGCCTTCCAGTTTACATAGAGTTCACTGGTTGTACATCTCTCAATCTGTAGCTGTCTTGTATTACTGTGCATCTATTTATTCATGAACGGTCTGTGCCAGTGTAGGTAGTGGCAATAATAAGAAAGCTTCAGATTGACAGGGATCCAACTACCGTACCTGAAAACAGGCACAGATTTTCCCCCCCAGAAATGATTTGCACAGCCCCCAGAGGCATTGGGCACTGCCCACAAAAGTTTTTGCACCCTCGCAAATTATATATATTTGATTTGATAGTTTCATATTTGATTATTCTTATTACTAAATTTGTAAAATTACCAATATTATGGTCTCAGATCTTGCCATGCAGGCCTAGAAAACAAATTTTGTTAAACTTTTTTCTTGGCCTTTCCGTCCGGGTGTTGCCACCATGCCCTGGCCAAAGCAAGCAGCAGCGCACCCCCCAGATATTTATCCACCACTAACTAAAGCTGGAGTTACACGAGCAACAAAATTGCTGCAACTTGCAACAAAATCTGATTTCAACGCATGTTAAGTAGAAATGTCAACACATGTTGCCTTGTGATTTGTAATTTGTAATTTATGTGTAAACATTTTCAATTAACATGCGTGGAAATCAGATTTTGTTTCAAGTTGCAGCAATTCTGTTGCTCGTGTAACTCCACCTTAAGGGCCTTTGCTCGAGGTGGTTGTATCTCTATCTATCTGAAGCTTTCTTATCGTATTTATCCGTGATGTAATGTACAGTCCACTTGTTTTCAGTCTGTCTTGTAAGCAGAAGAGAACGAAGATGTAGATCTTCTTGTTTCGAGTAATAAGAAGTTTTCCACAAATGTTTCACAATTTATCAATCTCAACTTTCTATTTTAGATTGTGAGAACTTACTTAAGAAATTTTTAGTTTTAAATCCAATGAAAAGAGCACGTCTTGAGGTTTGTTCATTTCTGTGAAGTCCTTATACACCCTTCCGGGAAATGTTCATTCTTGGCCATACAGCCTAGTTTTCATGCCAGATGTTGGGTTAGACGAAATCATACAGTTACAATAAATAATTTATATAATTAGGTCTTCAGTAACAAGATACAGGGCTCCAGGGCTCAAAATAACGGACAATGACCGGCCAAAAATGCCTCTTGACCAGTCACTTTTTTACCCTCACCGGTCATTTTGACCGGCCACATTTTCATGCCTTCCAATGTGATTGCTGACGTCTCGAATTAAAACATGAAACTATGATGTATCGAAACACGTTTCTAATAGTTTGTTTCACTGTTAGTGTAAGCGTATCAAATATCAGTGACCGGTCAAAAACAGATTTTGACCGAGCTAAAATCAAGTTGACTGGTCATTTTGACCGGAGACTGATCTCCCGTTATTTTGAGTCCAAAGCCGAGATCTCAATCACGTAAACGATGCTCTATAGCCAAAGCTGAGTGCTTTCCGGAAGGGTGTATTCAAAGTTAATTTCTTGAAATTCTGTTTGCTGAGAGACATGTGAGTAAAAAATGTGTTAAAAGATCTGCATGCTTATGTTTCTAGCAAATTATGTCAGACAAATGGATGAATATTGGTCACGAAGACGATCCTCTAAAACCTTATATTCAACCTTCGCCAGACTTTACAGATGAAAAACGCCTGGGTAAGAAAAAATAAATGAATGAGTGGTTACTTCCCAACCATTCTTGATTCTGAACTTGTATGCCTTTCTCTTGCATATACAGACGTAATGATGCAGATGAACTTCACGAAAGAAGAAATTAGGACGTCTTTACTAAATAATCGTTACGATGAAGTGATGGCAACGTATTTATTACTTGATGAGAAACGTGCGAATCTTTCTGTAAGTTCAGGATTTTTTTAATATACTTTTCAATTTTATGAAATTGACAAATTATTGAATATTAAACACCCTGAAAATTCCAATGGCTTTTCATATAGTTCCGCGTTTTCCCACCCTCAGAAACATAAATTGCTTTCCGGAAACATAAATTGCTTCCCGGAATCGTAAATGTTTCCCCACTGGGAAGCAAAGTCGGAAATTTTGTTCTCAAGTATGTTCTCGTGTTGCGGAAAAAATGTTTCCTAGTTCGTTTGCCTTAGGAAACAAGGAAAATGTGGCGAACAAGCATTCTTTCATAACAAGTTTTCTGGTTTCCCCAATTTGTAAAAATGGCTTGGAAACATTCAGGGCTTTAGATCAGCCCCCTAACACAATGTGGAACTTTACACCTAAATTATATACCAGTGCCCAAAATACAAGAGCAAAATACAAGGTAAATGCCAGAGAATGTAGTAAAATATGGGAAAAATTCCAGCCCTATTTTTACTTGAAAAAATCTTTCATGGAGTCACCCCACAGGAAAATGGTCTGACTATGACCTGAGGGGGATTAGGCAAATCTATTAAAGCGCAGACATTTCTGCATTTATGTCAACCTCTTGATGTGTCCTAATTTGCTCAGCGTCATAATCTATTTTTCAATTTGCTAGATAACAATGAATGATCTTATTGCGTCATCACATACGTCATCACTAACAACGCCCCCTCGTGACCCTTCATCGCGATCGGGCAGTGCGGGTAGAAGCAAGACAGATCGATATGGTGCAAAACGAGATCGAGAGTTAGTTCGAAGACATTCGCAAGGAGATAGAGTTCCTCATAAAGCCCTTGTATATAATAGGTAATGCTTCATTCTGCACAAAACTTTCTCGTTTCATACTTTACTGGGCCAAAATATTTTCAAAACGTTTCTCAATACACCCTTTCGATAATTACGTCATTTGACCTGGGAACCTCGCTCTCATGAATCGTGAGTCAATCACCTTGCGTAATTTACTAATGAGAGCGAGGCTCCAAGACCAAAAAGTATGTGTGATGTAATTATCGAAAGGGTGTATTTTGACACTACTGTTGAAAAACCTGATCTGACCCCAGCCTTCTGATCTATATGGAGGACTTGTGTTAACTTTTTCCCCAGTTCTCCCAACATCAAAGTTTCTGTAATCACAGTGAGAATTTTGAACAGGTAAATTATAAATTTTGAAGGATTTCTAAGAAATGTTTGTGGGAACTGACTCAGTGGTGAACGTTGTGTCAGTTTCCTCAAACATTTCTCACAAATTCTTCAAAACTTAGAATTTACCTATGCAAGATCCCTGCTGTGATCACAGAAACTTTGATAGTGTAAACAAGCCTAAAAGGCCCATTTCCACTCAAGAAAAATTTCCGTGACACAAAATTTTCCGAAAATGTCATTGTTAAAAGTTGAAAATTTTCAACTTCAAAATTTTTTTCCGACGGAAAATTTGTGTCGGCCAATCACATTTTACAAAATTTTCTTTCTGCGGAAAATTTTCCTGAGTGGAAATGGACCTTAAGGATATGAAATTCCGGTACAGAGATCTGGCCACTGATACGATACGCTACTGCTTTCCTTTGAGTTTCGCTCATGAATTATTAAGAGGCAATTTTTTTCAATGTCACGTATTTGCAATGAAAAGTGTTCAAAACCTAAAATCTTTTTGGCGTTCCTCCCAAAATTATTTATTTTAGCCTTATTCTCTAGTTTATAGAGTTAGCTACCTTTTTAAATGCATCTGCCGGTTGAGAAACATAAAATAATAGTTAAAAATAGTCAATTAAAATACAATTATCAATGATGCTTTAAAATTGACGCCATATTTACAGTCATATAAGCAAAACTTACTGAACTTCAGACATCATTTTCTCTTTGGCGTATCATCTAAAATCACTTCATTTTATCATTATTTTACAGATAAAGCACTAGACATACTTTTTAAGTTTGTTTGCCGATTGAGAAACGTGTCGAAAAATAAAAATGTTGAATTTAGTCATAACCTCAAGTGGTATATTATACGCATTAGTTTTGAGCGCGTGTTACGTAACATACACGCGTAAAAATTGAGAAAATAACAACTTGTTGCAAGTTGATATCGACAGGCGTGAACAAGGTTGTGCGGCCCACTATGAACAGTATTGTCAACATGTTGTTACAACATTGTTCAACTGTAACAACTTGGAACAACATGTATGTTTGCGATGTTACTCTGAGTGCATATCCACACCGGGCGAGCTTGAAAAATATGCCCGGCCACGGTGGGATTCGAACCTACGACCTGGTTGACAACTTGTTCATAGTTAGCCGCACAACATTGTTCACGCCTGTCGATATCAACTTGCAACAACCTGTGCGTTTTTAGCCGTGTACAAAAAAACTCCTCTTAACGAGTTTGAGGTTTGAGAAACGGTAGTACAAAACTTTATGTTTGTTATTCCGTAGAGCTAACAACTCTGGTGACGGGAAAGGTGGACATAATTCAGATAAAACGGAGACGACGAAAGATGACGTCTCCAATGAAAGAGTTATCTTAGGTCAGGCTTCAAATCCGAATAAAGACGAAATACCAGAACGAGGAACCAGGAGGATAAAAGGTGGTGGAAGGGTACGTGAAAGGATAATATGATAAGTTAGTTAATGTCGAGTACAAATAAGTTAGTGTGATTGCCAGATTCACTCGAGCTAAGATACGGGTTAGTTTTTAGTGGATCGAGTAGGAAATTGCCCTTCCAAAGTGGAAGTGGTGGGGGAAGTGACCCCCTCCCCCCCCCCCCACCCCTGGCCTAATTAATATCCAGTGTTTTTCATTCCCGTAGCAACACAGTTTACCTCCCGAGAAGATCCGAAGAAATGCGTACAATGCAAAATCAAACGCCGCGTCAGAGAGGTCTGGTACTAGCATGAGTGATAACCAATCGTCTGCTGTGTCGTCTCAAACCAACGGAAGTAGAACGAGGTAACGTGAATAGTTAAAGTGCGCCTAATGCCACATATAATTTTTACTATGTGTTATATTTGGGTCATTCTAATTTCTAAGAAGAAATGTAATATATCTTTTTATTATATAAAGTATAGTGCTTTATAGAGATTTCGAGCACTGATAAAACTGATAATCCCACATATGAGATTATTTATAATTATTGCTTTTAAAAGACTGTCCTTTATATAATAAACAGAAAAATACTTGGATGCTTGGAAATACCAGATTTATTTCTCGTGTTGAACATGATATCGAGTGAGATATCATGTTCAACACGAGAAATAAATCTGGTATTTCCGTGCACCCATGTATTATTCTCTATATAATAACGTCATCTTGATCAACTTTTTCACTTTCAAAGTTTCCGGATATGATGTCATTAGATGAAATGCAAATTAGTTTTCATTTGTTTTTTGTTCCAAAAGTTCGTCTAATGGCATCATTTCCGGAAACTTTGACAATGAAAAAGTTTATCAAGATGAGTTATTTTACTATTGAAATATATTACCTAAATTTCTTCTTAGAATGACCCAAAAATTACACATACAAAAAATCATATTTGGGATAAAAAATTCTTTGCATAAAGTTAATATAGTTGAAAACAATGGGTGAATGGATAGCATGAGAAAACAGTTGGACTTTCAAACCAATTCTGTGAATTGTCCAATGACATAATTTTCTATTTTGAGCAGTAAAGGTGGTCCTCCTTCGTCGAGACTGAAGCAACCAACCTCGCTTTCAAATCGAATGGGTCCTGTACGAAGATCTTTACCTCCCGTTGCTGTCACGAGAGAAAACGATAGATTAAGACCTGGGTAAGATTCGGTTATTGTTGTATAATATTTGTTTCGGTTTTTGGAAAACGCCACCTATATTTATTATTGCATAAATAACATGTATTATAATAATTTATAGTTGCATAAATATGAATTTCAAACTAGAAACAATATGTAATAGTTTTGTGGAAACACCACGTAAATTTATTACTGCAAAGCTTTCGATCCGTAAGCTCGGATCTTCATCAGTGCTAATAATATGCTAATAATAATAATACATTTTATTAGCACTGATGAAGATCCGGGCTTACGGATCGAAAGCTTTGCAGTAATAAATTTACGTGGTGTTTCCACAAACAAAACTATTACAAGTTTTATCGCCATGCAAACATACAAAGAACTTATTTAGAAACAATATATTATGTTTATATGTTTTATACAATAGTTTTTTTTACGCTAAAAGGTCGCCACAACAGCCTGTTTTATCAAAGAGGAATCATCCAAGAAGAGCCACCGGATTATTCCACTTGGATGAAACAGGCTTTTGTTGCAAATCTTTTGAGGTAAAAAGCTATATTATATGGCTTTTCAAAATTCTCTGTTCTGATTGGTTGACAAGCGGTCCGTAAAAACCCATATCCGGTCCTATTTTCCGTATCTGGACCGGTGTCCCGGATGTTATTTATCTGGCGGGAAATTTTTGCTTTGCAAACAGAAAAAAATTTTGCTTTTTAAATTTCCAATTGTGCTTTACAGATAAAAATTTCAAACAACCAAATTGTTTTTGATTGATCATGCATGCCTACCGTATATTGTTACCCAGTGAAACTGACGATAGCCGATTTAATTCGCGCGAAAAGCATATGCTCACAGACTCAGTTCAGCCATATAATAAACCGATTATTGACGCTTGTTCGGTCTGTACTGTGAAATATCAGACCTCTGTTTTTTGCATGGACCTCGCTCCTTCGTCGCCCGGTCCATACTAAAAGACCTCGGTTTGATATTTCACAGTACAGACCTCACGCTCGGTCAATAAGCCGTTATTATTTGCTCTATCTTTATGATATCGAGCACTCTTCCACTTTGTCAGCATAAAATTACAATAACAATTTAAAATTACAACAACAAAATAGTGTGGCCGGGTCACCGCAACAGCTTATTGCCAATTACTGCGGGCTCAATTAGTTACAATCAAGCAAACAACAGACATTCAACTGGACAGACAGACTAACACACATACGAACAAACTATATTATAGTTTCTAATAGCAGCAGGATATCGGATATGTAAGCTTTCCATTAACTCGGCCAGACCGATCAGAACGGTCAAATTGTTGAATGGAACACAAAACGGTTCGACTTCGGACCTATCTGAACAGAAAATTTATATAAAATTAGAATGAGGTCCATTTTCGTTAGATATGTGAGAAACATAGACCAGATCCTTCCATTGATACAGAGACAAAAATTCGGGTCTGACCGGTGAGGCCATTAAATGGAAAACGCCCTTGGTACATGTCCGATGTCTTGCATATCCGATATCCTGTTGCTATTAGAAACTAATATAGCATTTAGCATTTAAGTATCTTTAGCATTTCGTACACCAAACACACTCATATTTTGTACTATATATAAATGTTTTCCTGCATCTCATTTCATCAGCTCTGCTCCTGGTACGCGTGGTACGGAACCAGCGAGCACAACCAACCGTTTTGGTCATCGTCAAACACCACAGCGTAGTACCTTTCATGGTGGCCAGACACGCCAGAAACATTACCAGGAGAATGGTCCCGATACTGGTCTACCTCATGACGTCACCAGCCCCACACGAACCTCGTTGCTAAGTAAACTGACGTCACGGTTTAGTCGAAGGTTCGTTCGGTTTAATAGAAGGTTTGTTTTGTTTTAATTTGGTTGTTGTTTTTCCGCTTCTGAAGGAATGAGTATAAGAATGGCCACAAATCGTAAGTAACATGTGATTTGATAAATTCTTAATCATCACTAATCAATGTTAACCACATAAACATAACTACATATATAGTCTTGTTTAGAATAACCACATAATTTAAACAATATATGCATAGTCTGGTCGCAATTTAAATTGTAACGTTCGTATGCAGACGTTTGTCGTTCACACTGATGCAAAGACTGTACATACACTATGTCTAGTTTAGAATAACCACATCATTTAAACCTTTGTGCGAAGTTACATTTGCAATATGAATCATAACGTACGTATAAACAAGATTGATTATATACATGCAGACCCTACGCAGGCTGCTATATATGCATACTATAAATGTTGCAATCTATAAGTATATACATTGTGAGGTGATTGCAGTGGATGAACGGTGGTAAGGATGGATTTGGAAGGATAACTTGCCTAAGCAAAAACATTCATAAGCTTGCTAATATGAGCTACTGAGATGTTAACAAAATCTTGATATTTACCCATAACCTATAAATGACAGTACATTAGGGACCAGTCATTATTTATGGTGGGGGGTGGCACCGAAGAGAAAAGGGTTGGGTAAACTAAATTTTGAGTAAGTAAAAGGTTGGGTAAATGAAAAACAAAACAACTCAAGGGTTGGGTAATAAAAAATTATTTCCAAAGCATGACTCACTGAAGTATTGGGGACTAAAAAGCAATGGCAACAGTAGGCCCTACCACCCCAGAGTAGGCCGCCATATGTCAATACAATATGTGAATCAATCAGAGTCACTATCTTGATCAATTTCCGATGGGATCTCCAAAGAAAGTACATGAGCAGACAACATGAAACTTTAGACAGTCACTGCAGAAAATTTCACAACCTGTTATCAAACTTTTGTCACAGAAGTGGTAAAGGACATATGTGACAACTGAATGGTGCCGTAATTTTTTTGGCCAGGGGTGGGTATTTATTTTTTAATTGATATTTGAGGTTGGATAATCAGGTTTTTTTTACTTTTTAATGGTTGGGTCAGCAAAATTTTTGCCACGAAAAACATTTCTCTTCGGTGCCACTCCCCGCCATGAATAATGACCGGTCCCTTAGTATATATACATGAACTTGTGGTTAGAGCTCGACAACTGGGCTCTGTAGCTCAGTTGGTTAGAGCACTGCACCGGAATCGCAGCGTCGCGGGTTCGATTCCTGTCAGGGACCTGTAGTTGCATTTTTCGCAGCTGTTCCTGGTTAGGTCTAATAAATGTATATACATTTCCACTCAATTAGCCATTCCGAAGTTGTTGAATGGACTGGGGACGAGTGTTAAAAAGTGCCCAAATTAAAAAATGAACCAAATTACTAAAAAGACCACCTCAAAATTAGTAAGTATACAAAGTTTGAAGACGTTTACATGAACATCCTTCGAATACTCAGCTTTCGAAAATCCGATATTTACTATGAAATGTATTGCAATTTTTGTTTTTGGGACGCGCGTCTCAAAAACAATCTTTTAATCAGTAATTTCATAATTTTCGAAAGCTTATTATTCGAAGGGTAGTCATGTAAACATCTTCAAACTTTGTTTACTTACTAATTTTGAGGTGGTCTTTTTAGTGATTTAGTTCTTTTCTTAATTTGGGCACTTTTTAACACTCGTCCCCAGTCCACTCATCAACTTCGGAATGGCTAATGATCTCCATCGACAAGATCCTTCAACAAGCTGATATGAATCCCTGCTCGCGGCAAATATGAGAGTTTAAATGTAATGCATTTCTCGGATATTTCATCGACTGTATGATTTTTCGTGTGATCCACAATAGATCATCACAAAGATAAAGTTTTAAAGATTTGAATTAAAAATTATAAAACCCCTAAAATCGGTTAAATGAGAATTCTAAATATCACAAGACGAATAACCCTGGATTTATAGCGAACGTTTTGGCACTAAACTGAACGTATTAAAGCATTTTAAACTTATGATTTGATTCGTAAAAAATCTTGATTCAGTTAAATTAATCAAACTAAACCAATTGTGGCTTGAAAGTTGCGAATGTGGATATGTGAGGAAAGATGGGGATAAGAAAGGTCATGGAGGTTGTGCGAGTGTGATGCATCATAGGGTATGCGAGTACACATGAAATACTTAAAATGACGTTTTTTGGTATAAAATATAATTCATGCCGATGTCGAATAAAAAATCTCCTTTTGACGTATCTACATTTACACATCAAAGGAACCGCTAATTTTTTTGCCGGGTATGAACCAATCATCTTTCACACTTCAGCCATTCCTTTAAATAACATCGGTTGAAAGTTGAAATGTATTTCATGTGTACTGGAAGAGGTAGATGAAGGTTGAGAGTAGCCACTAAGATATAAGAAAAATGACCAGAGTAACTGATATAAAACTGTTACCAAAATTTTTAAACTAGAATTTGGATTATTTCATGTAAATGTAAATGTAGCTCACCAAATTTTACCATTCACTACACCTCAACTCCTCTACCTCTTCTGTACGTACCATTTATATTATATTTCTTACCGTGTATTCATTGTATAGCAGAATTCTCTTACTTTTTGCATTGAGAAATTTCCAAACTTCCATAGTATTTCTTGCACATTGCACAGAAAACTTCAGAGCGAAATTTCTACAACCACTATAGATATCAGTGACGTTGCAACTGCTTCCCCATTTAGTTTCTATCCAGTTTTAAATGTATTGTATGAATTAGATCTAAAAGACTTAAACTACTTATATTTCATGGGATGTAGGCCCTGACAACATCTTTATTGAATAAATATATTATTTATTCGTTTGCCTATTTTAATTATCAACAATGCAGTTTTATGTGACAAATTTTACCCATAAAAATCTGTTCAAAAAATGATGTTAACGGCAGTTTGCATGTCACTGATTTTTTTGTAATGTGTATAGTTTTGTCATGTCATCCAGGTGATCTGACGGTGAGCAAAAGGACTGGGACTATCAACAGAATAGAAATCCAGTTTCGTACCTTTAATCACTTGTCACGCCCCGATTCTTTTGTGAAACTGTTTGAAACTGTGTGTCTGTGTCTTGCACAGGGAAATGAATATCTGGGACAAATTTGAGATAGAAATCTAATACCGTTAATGAGATATTGAGTAATTTTAAACCAGAAATGGATTTCTATTTTACAACTAGTGGCAGGCCTTTTCCCAGTTCCGAGATCACCTGGATGTGTATTGTTCTTGTCTAAATTGTGTTCTGGGTTTTATTCGGGACAAGACGTGAAAATTTCTCGCATTGTTTTAAACCCTTGAATTTGAGTTTACAAGTGAAAAATTTAGCTACCAGAACCACAGTTGCTGAAACTGTTCTCAAAATTTGGCATTCGTCAAATATTTTTTCGAATCTTCATTGATTTCTGAAAAAAACATCATGGCAGTCTACTAAAATACAATACAACGGTAACCTATAGCAATTGTTCAGTTTCACGAAACCCGAGAAGATGAAAGTTCCTTCCGTCTTATGTTTTGAAATCTTTTCTCCTTTGCAGAGCCTTCGTATTTCATGTAAACATAGTCAATAGAATAAGAAGGTCAGGGGACTCGATGCAGACATAATATAGTCCTCATTATCTATGTTTTTGTCTTGGTTTGTGCAAGAAATGGTCGGTTCATCGTCACGTGCGTATTGTATTTTCGCCAGAGCAACCAATAGCTATGTGTTCATTTACCCATTGTGTATAACATCATGAATCGATAACTACCCAACACCATGGTTGTTATAAGACCTGGTTAGGAAACCCGGCAAACTTCAATGAAATTACGCTATAAACAAACATGGAGGTTGAACAGTCTGTTTGACCCTGCACATATTGGTTTTAATCAATGAGAATTGACCAAACGATGTAACACAAACATTCTCATCGAAAAATGGTAGTAGTACTTCGTTATTGACAAAATATGCCGTAAGATATAGCTCTGGTAGGCAAAACAAACAGTTGGTGCCCATTCCTTACACCAAGCTGTCTGAACTGACTATTGTCAAAACAATAGAAAGACAAAGGATTTTTCAACCGTGACCCTGCACAAGGTACACAATCACCTAAAACAAAGGGCTTCCAAACCATGTCAAGTATATTAACTATGCCAACACACAGCTATTGGTGGGATGAGCGAAAACAATACACGCGTGATGATGAACCGACCATCATTAGCATAAACCAAGAAAAAAACCGAGATAATGAAGTATATTATGTTTGCACCGAGTTTCCTAAACTCAGGGTGTTGGCAAGAAAAAAAAGTTTTATACATTGAACGTAAATTGGGAAAGTTTTTTTTGACCGATCAAAGTCCTTGTGTAGGAATAAATAGTGTTTTTTCCAACGTGTTTCTTCTTAGATGCAAACAACGGTAGCTTGGTTTTGTACATTTTATTTCCGGCGAATGAACACTGAAAAATGCACCCGGTGGTACTTTGTTTTGTATATTTTATTCCCGGTGAATGAACACGGATGCACACCGATTACACTTTGGTTTGTACATTTCTTTTCAGTGAATACACACCCAATATGAGTGAAACGCGATACATTTTGAGAAAATAGTTAATGAGAAAAAGTAAACAAAACGTTCTTTGATATAATATTATACAGCATTTGTAAATTCTGAACGCTGATTGGCTAAGAGCCGTGTTGATATAACTCAATGTCAACACAGAAACGTCGGAAAATTTCTTTCTTTATGTTTCTTTGTGCTATATTATAAAACAAATATAAAACATTTTTTCCGTATTGATATACAGTTATATCAACACTCGTGGAAATTGGGAAAACTCGAAATTGTGTGAAAACACTCCGCCCTTCGGGCGTCGTGTTTCCACACAATTTCTCGTTTTCCCAATTTCCACTCGTGTTGATATAACTGTATATCAACACGGAAAATGTTTTATATTTGTTAAATATAAAATCAAACGCAATGCACTTTCTCATCAGAAAAAAATGAAAATCTTCCAGTAGACCCAGCGCCTTAGCTACTACGGGAAAGCGCCTTAGCTACTTAAATTGGGAAGAGTCCATCAAACGGACAGTATATGGGCTAGCTAACACCCTGAAACGTCTTATTCTATTGACTATGATGTAAACCTCTGCGAAGGAGAGGGGGAACTCTCGGGGTCAATTTCCATATTAAAAACCTTGATTTAAATACCAATCCAATCCTAACTTAAATACTAATCCTCTCCTTAATCCTAATTTTCAACCCTTAATCCAAATCCTTGGACGTCATTCGGAATAGTAATATGGAATCCGAATCTTTATGTGTTTCTAAATGTGTTATGAAATTTCATTAACAGGGGATTAAACGAAGTAGGAAGTGAGAAACCTCGAGCGCTGCGTTTCACGTGGAGTATGAAGACAACGAGTTCAAAGGATCCTCTTACGATGATGGATGAAATAAAACGTGTTTTGGACGAAAATAGATGCGAATATGAACAAAGAGAAAAATTTCTCCTCATTTGCGTTCACGGTAGTCCGGCTGAACTTAACAATGTACAATGGGAGATGGAAGTTTGTAAACTACCTCGTTTATCTCTGAACGGCGTCCGGTTTAAACGAATTTCAGGAAGTTCCATCAATTTTAAGAATATTGCTTCGAAAATCGCGAATGAACTGGAACTTTGAGGCATGTAGGTGTTGTAGCAATATGTAACAATTGGTCGCGGTGGCGTTTTTTTTTTGTGAAATTTCAATTAAGAAATGTTGTTGAAATTTCTGGAAATCTGGAACAAGTTCCGAAGGAGGGAAGTGTTAGATTTTTGGAATTGAAGGAAGAATGTATTATTGTTAGATTTCGGAGAAATTTGACATTGCCGAGAAATTCTTGGATTTGGCGAGTAAACCGATATTCCTGGAAAATATTCTAGGATTCGCAGTTGGGCTGAATGGACGCGCTATACCGCCAAGAAATGTGAATGTCTAGGAAAGTATGCGAGTTTTTCCCGGATATACGATTGCACATTACATTCGGGAATATGCCGGGAAATGTGGGAGAAATATATAGAGGCGTGGAAGTATTGGTTTTCCCTGATTTGTATTTAAAGTGCGCCTGGATTCTCTTCGTGCATTGTATGCAGACAATTTTGAAAAAATATTGTAGGAAAAGGTTATCCTTGCTTGGAGGTATATTGTGACACAACAGTCTAAAATGTGATGTAAATAGTATTTAATTTTTCCTCCTGGTTTTGCAACATTGACTCACAAGACTGCACAAACGATGCCTTACGCTTGTTTTTAAATTGGCGAGAATTTAACTTGGTAGGTTTCAGCAAGCGTTACTGGGCGGTGGTTAGTGTCGACACTTATAGGGGCAAGAAAATGGGCTATTCCATATATAAGACGTAACAAGGGTTTTACAATAACCCTGAAGAATTCCTGTTGTAAAATCCCAAAAGAGCTCTTGTTAATAGTATTCGCCCCCCTGAAAGAATAAGGGTGTACCCCTGAAGAATTTTTTACACTTGACCCCAGGGGTCGGTTGTTCAAAGCTCGATTAGCGCTAACCCATGTATTTCTGCATGATCATTCGTTTCAAAACTTTTGGAAAGAAAACCTCTATTGAACCAGAAAGGATTTCTGGAAAAACACATTCAACTTAATTGATGAGCTGTTGGGAAATTTAATTTGTAGATCTGTGTTAACCCAGGGTTAGGCTAACCGGCTTTTGAACAACCGGTCCCAGGGGAATAGACAAATTTGGCTTTTATACCCAATTCACAACTTTAAATAACTCGCATGCCTAATACACCCTTTCGATAATTACGTCACAACTACACTGTTTTCAACTTAGGACCACCTTAAATGGAAAGGATTTCAAGTTTTTTTCTCATGGGCTATGCACAGAGAAGAAGAACATCCTTCTTGAACACATGCGCGAAAAAATGTTGGATTTTGATCAGTAAATATGGAAATAAGCTCCAACACGAAAACGAGGCTCCAGGTCATGACCTTGAGCCTCGTTTTCGTGTTAAAGCTTATTTCCACATTTATTGGTCAAGATAAAGAATTCTTTTTCATGCATGTGTTCAAGAAGGATGTTCTGCTTCTCTGTGTATAGCCCATTTTAGGTGGTCCTAATTTGAAAACAGTGTAGTTGTGACGTAATTATCGAAAGGGTGTATTAGCATTGTTCTACACACGTAAAAACGCACAAGAAACCTGCAGCAGACTTGTAGTAATGCTGTTCCAACAACTTGTCAACAGGATGTGTTCGCACTGCTTGTTCCCAGCTTGTTGACAAGTTGTCAACGGCTTGTTGACAACTTGCTGCAAGGTTGCTGAGCTCAACAGACTTGTTACAAGTTGTTTATCGTCCTGCAATTCAACAACTTGTCAACAAGTTGTGAGTGACAACCTTGTAGCAACTTGATAAAATAACAGCATTGTTACAACTTGTTGACAAAGCTTGCTACAAGCTTGTTGCGAACACATCTTGTTGACAAAGAATAGAACAAAGGTAACTAAGCTGCACTATAGTGCTTACTGAAACCTACCTGTACAAGTAAGGGACGGACCATTAGAAAAGTGATGGGGGGGGGATTTTCTAAGAGGCAATATATTTTTTTTGTACACCTATAGAAGAAATTTTTTTTCTTACTTGATGGCTAGAAATATAGGCCTATCTTCCAAGCAAGGAATTTTTTTTTTGCACTGTGCCTGGGAAGATTTTTTCCTAATTTTTTTCTGGGAATAATTTTTTGTTTTGTTTTTCCCCCCCCCATCACTTTTCTAATGGTCCGTCCCTAAGGCGTATGAAACCTGTACGTGCCAGTGCGGCCAACATATTAGGAATGATTTTAAACAGTAACTATAATGTATACTATTATCTAATAACTGTGTGAGAGTTTGAAGGGAGAAAATTTATTTTAAACCGATGTTCTCGCTGGTCGAGATTAAGCCCCCTAGCCGGTTGTCTCTTCACGCATGAGTTTCTATAAAATTCGTGTCACTTTTAAACTTTATTATTCCCTCTTTACTTATGAAATCTGCGTCTAAAATGTTCCGACAGTTTCCTTGGTGTTTTAAAATAAACTAAATTTAATCCTTATTTAGATGGGGTAGTACTAAATCCCTTATTGGTCCAGTTACTACAAGAGTTCGTGTAATTACATTCCCGCATTGTCTCCACCCGGAGGCCGCAACTCCCCGAATTTCCCGCCTGTGCTTCAACGAACTTACGAGGTCTTCCCGACTCGTACCCAGTCCCTGAAATGAGGATTGAATGAAATTATGGTGCATGATGGGAATGATCAAGGCTCGAATTTCGTCATTCCCATCGCGCATCTCAGTCCACTGATCTATACATGTATTCGTATTGATTACTGAAATTTGCATAAAATGCAAAACGAGGACAAGAGTTGCATGATAGTTGATGAAAGATGACTGAATAAGTGTTTAAGAATCAAATCCATCAATCCTGGATGTTTGGGATCGTTCCCATCTAAAACAATATCCCAAAAAAATACAATAGATCGATAATCCTAAAATCCAATCTGAACAATCCTGCTATTTAAGCATAAATAATCTGTATTCGTTCTACAAAACTACAAAATGATCCAAAACCCTTTAAACAGGGTCTTCATAGTACCACGCGCAAAAATCTCATTGATGATTGAGCTATAGCTGTCAGATACGAGCGAGAATTGCAACTCTCGTGGTTTAAGACCGCATTTCAATGAGGCCTTGTAATTTCACAAAAGATCGATTACCGTTTCATGCGTTCCATACACTGATCTAGAAATATTAGGTTGGTGATCGCTAGATAGTATACTTCAAAATAAGGTTTCCGTTTTTATAACGTAGAAAAAACTATCCTAACGCAAAACTAAACCCTCATCCTAACTTAACCCTAACTTATTTTAATTATTTTAAAAATTGATATAAAAACGGAAACCTTATTTTGAAGTATACTATCTAGCAATTGCCATATTAGGTTCCATATTGTTATTTATTGATAATTGTTTGCAAAATAACTTTTGTTTATCAGCTGCCAAAACAAATGTAAATTCTATTGTTATGTATCAAAATGTATCAATCACTACTGATTTGGTGATGTGTTCACCGATTACATTGAACACTTTTCAGCCAGTGCTGAAGTTCCAACCGAGTTGAAATTTTGTTGAAATTAAGCCGATTACATGAGAGTTCGCCAGCCTAGAAAGGCCCTAACTAGCATGAAATCTCGGCCTGGGATGAAATCGTAGTCTCGGAGTAGAGCTCTGTCTTCTTTTCGACTTGTTCGAAAGTAGACTTATAACTGCATTCAGAAATGGAACACACAAAAATAAAGTAATTTAAAGTCCGTTATACAAAGATTTTGAAATTTCAGCCTGTTTGGAACTGATGACGGAATGTTTGCAAACACAAAATACCGACGAGTTACACCAAATATCAAACTAAAAGTTATAGTCTTACCGTCCCCACAACGTAAATATTTTGTGTTTAAAAATAAGGAAAACAGGCTTGTTTTTACAATTGCTTTAAAATGAATCCAAATCTCGGCGCAGTGTGTGATAATTTTGTACGGTTACGCAACCCTATACCCGTTCCTCATTGTTTACTGCGAACCAGTCAATATTGCAACGCTTCATCGCTCCACTGAGCCAAGTTAACCAAGCGTTCTAAAAGTTCATGGTCTTTCAATCAAGCGTGCATTGTTTCTGCATGGCGTGTGCAATTATCTCCGTTGGATTTCCATAAGATCATACATATTTTACTTCTCCTTATCTAATCTAACTTAGCTTTGTTCTTCATTCACTCGTACGATGTCTTGAATAACTTTGCAAGCTTTTTTGCTTGCAGAGAAATGGAATATTCCTTACCTAAAGTGTAGGACATTGTTTTGTTATGTTTAGTCATTTTCAGTTACGGTGAAAGAACATCGCAAACGTAAGTAGAACATTGTATATCTTTTGCCTATTCAGTTCATTGGTTTCCAAGCTTCAATGAATGCATGCTCTGAGGCGCGTATATTTTTGTTGAAGTTTTAGTATGTTTGCACGTTTCATCTTCATTTTGTAATGCTGAGTAAAATGAGTAATTACAATTTTAATTTTTCCTATTTTTAATTTGGTATGATTGTCTCAAAACAGCACGCCAATTTTAACAAAATTAATCCCCAGCTCTTTGGACTCGCAGATAAGCTTTAAATCCATTTAAATTGATTAAAATTGTTAGTGACAGCATTCATTCTGAACCTCGCGCTTTATAAAATATTTCGATCTTATTGCTTTATAATAGTGTCTCATTTGGGTTTTTTTCTGGCCATAGAATCACAACTGATACCTGTGTGCATTTAAGGTCAGCAAATCGAAAAAAACACTATTCCACTACAACATGCAAGAGTGCTCTGTCTTGTACTGAAGACTGAAGTTTCAAATGCTTTGGAATTTTGTTACGCCCAGAGGCAAGCGCAACAACTAAAAATGTGAACATATTTTGTAGAAATCGTGGTGACTGGAAGCATCGAGTAGAAGTATATATAATTGTATGTGGAATGAAATATATAGAGATGAAAGATTATTTGATTTGATCATGAATGCAAATTTTGGTTAGAAGGTATTGACAAAAATTGAAGATTTTTATTCTTAATATCTGAAATAGAAAAGATCATTATGTTACAGTCTCTTGCACGTTTCTTAGTAAATGCCTCCAAATTCCCCTCGCAAACTTCCAGCAAGCAAATTTGTGGGACAATTCCCTTTTCTGGTGGCCTCGTTCTGTTTTAACAGGTTTTGAAAATAATTAATTGTGATCAGACTTTTGTTTTTTGAAAAATGCACGCAAACGTACACATGACCTGACTAATAAAATAATTATATAGCCATCAAAGCCAATAAATCACTTTAGACTTTAGTGCATTCCTCTGGTTATTCGTCTATGACATACGGATCAGACAGACGGTCACCCATCCGCTGCGTTTAGTTCTACTCCTAAGTTTACCTTTACCTCTTCACTGCCTCTGTACTGAAAATACTAACAGTTCATGCAATGTTCTTTTTAGATTCTTTACTTGGTGGCTCGATTAACTTGTAGCGACTAGAGAACTGTTTAGAACCAGATATGAATTAAATTTCAAATGTGGATTTGCTTGTGACCTCGTTAGATAAGTATATTTCAAAATGGACAAAGGTATGTTCTCTGAGTACTCATTAAAGAGTCTTGTAGTTCGTTTGTGGAGACGATTTCGTCATCAACTCTTATGAACCAATTTTTTGTCGGATATTTTGGGGTTTTTGTAGTTTTAATCGCGACTTGTGAAGTTGTGTCCAATCAAAACTTTGAAAAGTTTTAGTCTATAAATTTATATTAAAGAACAATTTTTTGTTACAAAACGGAACAAGCAGGAAACAACTTAGTTGTTACTGAACATTGTGAGTTTCTCAAGCACTTTCCATTACAACCAAACGACCACTTTGACAAACTCAATAACCAGACTGAGCAACACTTGCACTGGTATGACATACCACTATACGCTGTAACAATGATTACGAAAAACGATCAACGACATCCCCGACACGAACTTGATGAGACCACAGTGGTGTGACCGATACAAAACAATACGAGGAAAACGAGACGTACCAACAGCACGCTATTTGTTTACAAAACGCACGAAACTTTAACGTAACCACCGTGCCAGAAACACTGTAAACGCAACGAAATCTGACTAAGACGCTGTATACGAAAAACGAACAGCACAGAAACGAATAACGGGACCAAAACGCTGAACTTAATACACTGAACTATACTGATGGTAAAAGAACGAACAAAATGAATGACTGACAAGAACGGAACTTCGAGTACAAATAGACTAATTAGTTCAATTCTTCAAACTGAACTCACACGGAAGGCGACATAAAAGCAATAATCTAGCAAATATATTGATTGAAATTCAAATAACAGAAACTTATTAACATTACTTTGAACAAAACTGTCAATGCAAAATGCGGATAAAATGACTGCACGACCACGTTTGCCATTTGTGCTTGGGAAAACGTGCAACTCGCAGCAATTAAATTGTACAGGATAAATTATAAGATAACTTTAGTTCTGAAGATATGTACAGTACATGTTAGTTGAAGTTTGGAGTCAGACATGGTGTTTTACTGACAAAACTCGCAAGATAAAAACGAAAAAGGGTAGGCAAAACTGAAAAATAACGACACTCATTTATAGGGTAATCAAAACGTAGTTACTGAGTATTTCACAATTTTAATCAAATTTATTTTTGATCGATTTTGACAGGTAGCCAGGTGGGTGAGACGATATTTTACGAACATTGACGGAACTTTACGAATATTGACAGAACAGGACTATACCTCACTGACTGTGACGCAACTATAACAACGAAAACTGATGACGTAATGACAACGACTTTACAACTAATTACTAACATTATACTAACGACTACGCTATAAAACAACAAACAGTGCAGAAAATACAAACGACAAGTGAAAATTATCGCGACTGTTCATACTTTTAATCATTTGTAGGACGTCGCAATAAATTTCAATAAACGACAATATTCAGGAGAAAGTCAGTAAACACATGTAACTAACAAAATAATATATACAGTGAAACCACAGGGACAAACCTACCATTGGTAAACAAACAACCAAACAAACAAACAAACAAATAAACGAACAAACAAACAAACGAAGATATTAACAAACCATTACAGACAAGCCAACAAAAAACATATGAACAGTTAAATTAATAAACAACAAATTGTGACCGACAAAGTGACTAAACGATAGCTTTCAGACTGACCTGACAAACCTGACAAACCAGTTCTGAAACATTATCCACTCAACCTCGTACCCAGGATCTTACCTATGCGAAGGTAAGAGCCTGGGCACAGATATGGCCTGGGTACGAGGTTGTTACCCACTCTGCCTTGAACAACTTAACGTGACTGACTGACATACTTTACAATCAACGGATAAATCCCGCGACTAACTGACGAACCAGTAACGACTGACTTCGAAATACATACTTAACGATCTTACTTACTGCGCGATGACCTTGAACTTAAATGCCTACATGAACTAACCAACTCTTGCCAAACTATGACAAACTAGAACGGGCTTACCTTCTACACATACCTATTACTAACTAAATCGAACTCGACCAACTGACTCGGACAGACTAAAACATTAACTTTGACCATTTGCCATTCCATTTTCGCTTGTTGGCACACCTACGAACACTATAGGACTACACGAATTATTGATGGACTTTTCTTTTAACTGAACGAAATTGACAAAACAACCAACTTTGACCACGACTTACCAACAAACTAGAACTGATGATTGTATGACTAAACATGACTAACAGATGTAACTTACTGACCAAACGATCCAAATGACTCGACTTGGAATCGTAGACTAGATGACTTTTTGACCAGTTACCTTGACTGATTGACTGACTGACTTACTTTAAAACGAAATCTTGCCCCGACTTACCAACGAACTGACTGAGACACCAACGACCTACCAACCATCTTACTGACTGAGTACATTACTGCTACCAATCTGACTAATTACATTTATACTGACTTGCCCAAAAAACAAACTAGAATTACACATGGCTTTTTTACCTGGACTATTGACTGGACGATTGACTGGACGATTGACTGGACTATTGACTGGACTATTGACTGGACTATTGACTGGACTATTGACTGGACTATTGACTGGACTATTGACTGGACTATTGACTGGACTATTGACTGGACTATTGACTGAACTATTGACTGGACTATTGACTGGACTATTGACTGGACTATTGACTGGACTATTGACTGGACTATTGACTGGACTATTGACTGGACTATTGACTGGACTATTGACTGGACTATTGACTGGACTATTGACCGGACTATTGACTGGACTATTGACTGGACTATTGAATGGACTATTGACTGGACTATTGACTGGACTATTGACTGGACTATTGACTGGACTATTGACTGGACTGTTGACTATGGCAGACGAACCTACAAAAATGTGTTTAAACTGTTTACCCTGAAGTAATACGACATATCCACTAAGTGCTACTGAATAACAAAACCACAAAACTGACGTAAATACATGATGACTTATTAAGCATGGTTTTCATTTGGTCGGAACGGTCCCTAACATATCGAGGTTGCTGATGTTAAGACTAGTTTACACCACCAAAGTTTCTGTGATGACAGCAGGAATCTTTCATAGGTAAATTCTAGGTTTTGAAAGATTTGTAATAAATGTGTGAGGGTATACTGATTCAGTGTTTAACACTGAGTCAGTTTCCTCAAACATTTCTTATAAATCCTTCTCAAAACTTAGAATTTACCTATGAAAGATTCCTGCTGTGCTCACAGGAATTTTGATAAAATAAACCAGCCTTTATAAAATGGCAATTAACTCGTCTATCAAAAAATTGCTTGTACATGCATATACAGTAGTACACGCAAGCCAAGATAGATTCAGATAGATAAAAATATATCCAGACTATTTCACATCGTCGTAAATGACTTGCTGACGACAGTTACGACGAAATGGAAATCAGGCCTTATTGACCAACTGACTTACTTATCAACTATACCAAGTGACTTATTAAGGCCCGTTCAAACGAGGCGAACAGGTTCGTCCAGCATCATCCAATATTCTTGAGTGAAACTTTGCCGGCGTCGTTGGAACACTATGTTGGGGAGTGCTGTGCAATGCTGGATTGAGTTTGACTTTGTTTCAGAAAATTTTCATCCAATATTGTTCAACATTGTTGGATCATCAGCTCACCGACTTACTGACCAAACAATACCGAGTGACGTAACTGATCAACCATACTAACTCACATACTGACTTCTAACTGATTAAGAAAAACTGTTCGAAATTGACAAAACGACCAACTAACTTGACTGAACAAATATGTGCCACTTAACACCTGACCAATCTAACACCGACGTAGACTAACCAACCAACTAACTTATTATTTACAAAACCAACTGACATTTAATGACTAAATTACTTACATACTTATGGTGACTCTAACTTACCAACTGACGTACTGACTAAATTACTTACCAACCAACTGGTTTACTGACAACTACCATTTGCAAACGATTTACTGCCAACGACAAAAAGCATGCTTGGTGACACACCCTTGTATATTACAACATGTAAGTAACTATACTAACTGAACAACTGCATGACTTAAACTGACTTGATGACCACTTGACTTCTTACCAACTACCAACCAACTTAAACAAGTAACTACTGCAGACTCACAGAACAACTGCTTGACTTAAACTGACTTAATTAATGACCAGCTGACTTCTTACCAACTACCAATCAACTTAAACAAATAACTAACTACTGACTCACTGAACAACTGTTTGACTTAAACTGACTTAATTAATAACCAGCTGACTTTTTACCAACTACCAACCAACTTAATTAACTTACTGACCAACTAAACCGACTAATTAGCGACCAGTTCTGACCAACTGTTCAATGATAAGCTAGCTTACTAATTAAGCTACCTATACCAAATTGTCCAAATACCAACTAACGTAATGACTTCTTGACCAACTGATTTACTGAAGAATTAGTGATTTACCATTTGACTGACTAACCAAGCACCAACTAGTTCAATGACCAACTACCAACATACTTATTAAACAACTAACAGGACTGACGTACTGACCATTTCAACTTCCAACAAAACTACAAACTAACATAATGACTTATTGACCAACTATCAACTTACTTACCAACTGACGTTCTCACCAACTATTTACTAACTAGTAGTGACGAACTAAACTGACTTAGGGACCAACCAATTCTAACCAACCAACCAACCAACCAACCAACCAACCAACCAACCAACCAACCAACCAACCAACCAACCAACCAACCAACCAACCAACCAACCAACCAAC